CGAGATTCGTAGAAGTTGATAAATTGGTTACCGAGATATACGCTTGGGGTCATAAGGGGGCAGCGCCACGCCCATTTAAAAAAAATGTATAAAAATTTAATTTTCTGCTAAGTGGTTATTGCAGTCATCGATTTTGAGTAAATTAGCTTCAGTAGTTACTTATTTATCGCAGTTTTCGTGTTTCTGTAAATTATCGTTATATGGAAGGTGGGCGTGGTTATTGCTCGATTTCGAAGATTTTCAACAAATTTCTTAGTTAAGCCCTGCGCAAGGTTCGTACCGAGTTTGGTAGAGATTGGTGAAGCTGGTACTGAGATACAGTATTTTAGCATAAGTGGGCGGGTTCACGCTTAGTTTCCAAAAATTTCAAAACAATATTTTTTACCAATATTTAACTTCACATACTAATTTTAAACAATTTGGATGCAATATTTACTGAAATACCTATTCAAATAAATATAGTTTCGCATACTTACTTGGATTTTCCAAACGATAATGACTCTCTGGTTCTGGATGTCTGGTATATAGAATTTGCTGTGATATATGCTCTGTCATTATTTCGTAGAGAACATTATAGGTTGGCAGGGATAGCGACTCCTCGTAGAGTAATAAACGTTCCGCTAGTAGTGTGTATAGGTTGTGCGGCGACATTACGTCATATTTTCGTCTGTTATACCAGCAGGAGAAACGAAAAAGAGAAAACAAAGATGTTTGAAACCATTGGAGAAAGCGATGAAAAAAAAGCAATGAAAAGGAAAAGCGACAAATATATAGCAATAAAAATGGCTTAGAATTCATTCAGCAAATTGTAAAGAGGTATCCCATATGCATGCAGTAATTGCCTGCATGGCTCACATTATAATTTTTGCTTTATTAGGGGTTAACTAATTCCCTTAGTATACATTTTCATGGCAACTGAACTACTTAAGAGAATGTCTTATTAAAAATTATAAAAAATAACACCTAAGCATAATAGAATTAGCATCCTATTCTAAATACAGAGAAACTTATAAAATTGGGCTTACAATTTAAAACATTATCGTATGATGCTAAAAATAACAAGCCTGCATTAGTAAATATATTTTACATTTGTACGTGCAGTAGGTTTGTCCTAGGTGTAGGTTTGTTCTATACCGAAAAATATACCATTTTTAATTTTGAAATCAATAAATATATAGAGATCGCTCAAAGCGCTCAAAGTTTTTCATGTAATTTGTATAGGGAAAAAACCACTTTTCGTAGAAACAGTAGAGAATTCTTGAAAATCAGTATTTTTCGATTGATTTCTCTTCAGGAGAATCCCAATAATAATACCCAATTGTTTATTTGACCATTTTTTTATACTAAAGATTTTTTATTGGTCCCCCCATTGCGTTTTCTGGGTTTTTTGGTGGTTCTGTATAAAATATAGTTAATTTAATATATAATATAGTTAATATGGTTAAATAAAAATTTTGGTATCATTATTGCGAATTTCCTGAAGAGAAAGAGAATATAAAATACATGGCAACTGTAAGCGCTTTTAGTGACCTCTAAATAAGTTTTGATTTCAAAATAAAGAATAGGGGTATATTTTTGGGTCTGGAATAATCCTAGGGAGTGAGAGCAAAACAAATTCCGTCTTTACTTCTTCACATGAATTTTTGGACCACCCTAATGTGCACAGTATGTCCTCCACCCTACAATAGCATTAGGTACTCACTTGTGTGTGCTGCGTGATAAAAAGAATCCAATCAATTTCAATGCTTGCAAGCGTATCAATTGACTTTCAGCAGCTAATAATTTGAAAATGCTACGAACGCCATGTTTCACATCGAAAGCAGGTACCATGGAGCTGGGATGCTCAGACATAAGCGAAATTAACATTTGTAAAACGTCATGAAGATTTTCATCCTGCAAGTATATAATATAAAGTTGTGTAAAGTAAGCGTAGATAGAGCGTAGATACATATGTATGTGAATGTAATTGAATATTACAATAGAATAAGCTTTTAGAAATTTAAAAATTAGTTTCTTTTAGAGTAAATATTGCCTTACCTCATGCATGGTCGTCAAATAATTTAAAATGCTTTGCAATTCATCTTCTTTGACGCCATTACCGATCATAATCAATTGTTTCAGAAACAATAAAATATAAGCGCGTATCGCTAGGATATCCTTTTGTGCCGGACGTGGACCATCTGTGAATAAGTATACAGGAAAATGTTAACTAAAGGGAGTAAAAGTTGAAGAAATTTTACTAAATGTTATTATAATTGTGATTTTAATCTAAATCATTGTCATTATAATTATAATTATAATTAATTAGTCACTATAATTATTATTATCATCATCGTTATCGTGATTGTTATCGTTATCGTTATCTGTATCAATCTAATATTCTTTTTTTTTGGGGGGATCAGACACGAAAACATAATCATAATCACTGTCATAATCATAATGAAAGTTATAAGCATTATAATAATGATCATCATAATTACAATCATAAACAAAATGATTGTCATAATCATAATCGTAATCCTAACCATAGTCGTAATCCCAATGAAAATCACAAGCTCAATAATAGTCATGGTCATAATCATAACGATAATCAAATTCATAATCATAATCATAGTCCCAATCAAAATTAGAATCATAATCATAATTAAAACTGAAAGCAAAATCAAAATCATTATCGTAATCCCAGTCGTAATCATGACCAAAATTAATACCGTTTATGTATAAGATTAATGTTTTCCAACAACAAGTCAAGCAAATTAAATGCAATTAAAAATTCACTCCAATTTTAAAAGCTTTATCTCTCAACGCATTTTTACTCATTACAATTTCGGTTCCTCTTTTGCCACTCACCCAATCCCTTTGGTATGATGCCACTTTTCGCACGCGGATTCACAACCCAATAGTAGTATTTAAGTGTGTGCACTGTCTGTAAAACCGTGCTTACACGTCGCACATTGCTGTAGATTTGCGTATCGCTGAGGAATTCCGTAGCCAAGTATGAGTACAGGCGCGCCTGCACATTGGCTGGCGTGTAAATCCAAAGCGACGGATTGAAGAGCACATGATCGAGCAGCTGCCACGTCAGAAACGAGAAACAGAACAGCTGCAACACATGGAAAGTGAATAGATTGCAATGTGTTATTAATTTTTCAAAATCCCAAGAAAGTATTAGACACTTGGAAAAAAAATAAATAAATATAAACAAATAAAATAAGACACAGTAGGTGTTGGCAAATTAACGCTCCAACAAATACGAGTAAGTACAATAGTAAATTGAAATATAAATTTTAATATAAAAATTTGTTAAAATGTTTATTTATACATACATGTAATGGAGTTGTTTTTTATTGATTGTTGATTATATATTTTGATGCACAAAACAACGAACGAACGTAACGACAATACGAGTAGGTAGTTATATTTCGGATTTTTTGTTTGTTTTTTTTTTTGTTTTTTTTTTGTTTATACATTATTGAATTGTAAACGATAAATCGCAAGTCAAGGCAACGTAACGCAACGCAAATGGCATTCGATAATTTTCAAGTTATAATAATTGTTTTTGTAACGCATGCATCGAACAGCAATCAGAAATGAAAAGTTCATTTAAAACATGAAAAAGAAATAAAAAAATGAAATACATTAAGTTTGATGTTGATGGTTATTGGTACAATGTTAAGTAATTTTCCTCTACATATGTAACTAAATAAGTATGTAATATGTATGTCGTATGCCCTATATATGGTAACTATTTACGTAAGTAGCAATGCTAAGCAATGTTTACATAAGGCTATTGCGATACTCACAGTTCACAGTAATCGGTTGTGTTAATTCTAAAGCGTTACAACTTAAATCGAAGCAGCTTTGGAATAATATTAGAGTCCGTAAGGACATCATCCGCACTTTTTGTTTAGAAATATAGTACAGCATGTCTCTTAAATTTGTTTTTTTTTTCAATTTCAAAAATGTAACTCAAAGAGTATTCACATTTCCAATGTGTAAAATTTCAAAAGCTATTTTTTTTAACTTAAGAAGTAAACTGTGAGTACCCCTTATTTAACTAACTTAATAACTATCTGTTCTTTGTAAAATGATACAGATTTACATAGACGTTTTTATTTCTAAGTTAACTTCAACTTGATATCTTCTTTTCTTTAGCGCTATTTTCTATGTATAGATGTAGTGGATGCTACTGATAATACCTATGTATATATATAGGTTGTAATTAGGCGCATGAAGTCTAGGCAATTTAAAATTAAAAAAAAATATATATATCTTGGAGAGTTTGGCATTTTTGATAAAACATACATCGTTTATTCACCTATTTCTTCCACTTTTTTCAACACCTTTTTTTGTGGTCACTTGAGACCCCATGCAACTAGTTGGGTGATTTTCTTCATGCGTTGCAATAAAGAGTTAGACCAGAGCTTCCTAAAGTGGGTTCCGCGGAACCCAAGAAGTCACCAGTGTTTCGTGAAATTATTTATTTGTGGCTATTAAATAATTCAACATATACATAAAACAACAGATACAAATCAGGGCTAGTTCGATTACCGTCGCTTAAAATTCGGTACAAATTAGCACGACGGTCGGCGTTCGGCAGTCGGTTTGAATTGCATTCGCAAAGAAAAGTTCTAAAGATAGCATGACCGAGGCGAAATTATCTATTTTCGAGTATTTCTGGGAAAAGCAATATCGCAAAAAATATAGAAAAACGGTTTTTCATAGCAGCAGTCGCTCCTTTTTAGGCAATGGCAAGCCTCCGTGAGTTTATTATGTCATGAAAACGCTGCTCATAAAATTCATTGTAGGTCGCTCAATTTGTGTAGCAACGTCAAGACGCACACCACAAATTGAACAAGTTCGGCCAAACACTTAGCAAAAGTGTAATCGCTAAAATATTATTATTATTATTCGAAAGTCTGGCTTATAAAAGCAGCTTATCTTGCCGACATTTTTGGAAAGATCAGTGAACTAAATTTATGACGAGAGACAAATTATCATCTTTTAAGAAAATGAAATTTCTCCATTACCTGTGTGGAAAAGATAAGCATTGAAAGCTTCCCTTTTTTATAAATTTTTCTACATGAAACGCGATGAATTACCAAATGAATTTTTCAGTGCCAAGGCTGGACACTTGGTAAATATCCTGAAATCAGATTATTTTTCGGATGGTAGTAGTGATATCGGTTGGGTACAAAATCAAGCGCTTATAGATCTTCGACATGGAATCACACATTTGAGTCTGTGTCTCTTAACGAGTTTTGGGTTAGTGTTAGGAGTTAATACCCTGAAGTAGCTAAAAAGGATATCTTAACTTTGCTTCCTTTTGTCACAACGTATCGTTGCGAAAGATGTTTTTCGGCTTACTTTTATACAAATAACAAATTCAGGTTTAAATTGGATGCTTCCCCAGAAATCCGCATACAGCTGTTGGACATAATACAGAAATAATAAATAAAACAGTAAAAGAATTTCATTCATCACATCAAAAGTATTTATATACTATTTCAAATAAAAGTTGTGGTTCCTATTTAAGTTGTTGTATCTTTGATATTTAGTAATTTGATGCGACGTTCTTTAAAATCAAAAGTATTTGCAGTTTACATTATCTCAAAAGTTTGCGGTTGCCTTGGTTAGACGATAGATATAGATAGATATAGACTGGCGCCAGAAATATTTAATATAATCGCCTTACTTTGAATAGTTTTGGCTATATAATATATATACTCAAGAAATATGAAGACTTTTGTGTGTTCCAGAAAAAAATGTCAAATCAAAAACAATTCCTTGAACTAAGTGAATACGATGCAGAATAGACTCTAGTTATAGTAGATTATTAGATCACTTGTCCAAATTGAGTGAAGTTTTGTGGCTGAGGACGAAAAAGAGTAGATCACATAATATGGGCAGTGAAGTTACCAATAGTCTCAATTTTCACTTCTCGGAGTAATTCTCTCTCAACTCATTACTCAAGATATACAACTGGCGCAAATGTGCAAACAGCCCCAAACCGACGAACGGTTAAAGAGCCAAACAAGAAGAAGAATAAAACAAAAAGTTACATAAAAAGGAACGCGCCGAAGTTTTTTATTTGGCGCATCAAGTGTATTTCAGGAGTTTTGTTAAATAATTCCTCTCTACTCTCTTTCGCATATGTGTTATTATAATAGCTGACTAATTACAATTTGATTAGCTAGCTATTCACGAAATAAAAGAAAGGAGTCATAATCCAATAGAAGTTATTTTGACAGTTGTGGAAACATTTTTCCCTACCTTAAGATATTTTCTTAATCGAAAATAAATCTCCGATTGCTGGATACACGAAATCGATTTAGAGAGAAAAAATAACTTTACAAACATACACTCGCTCCAGTGAGTTTGTAGAATTTAAGCATTTTTGAAAGTATTTTCAATCTTCCATCTGCATATTACTTCCACTACAAATACATACATGCATATGTATGTATGTATATGCCATGCTAGCCACTTGCAGGATAAACCGGTGTCCTTCACTGTTACCAAAAATATTTGCAAGTAATTTTGCTTGTTGTCATGAAAGTTTTATGGAACGCAGTGATTTTCATTGCAAGCAGTTTTGTTATTGTATTCTTAATTGTGTCTAGCAGCAGTGATTGCTGTCGACAGTCATTATGGAGTTTTATGGCTTTCTCCTTATAGAAGTGGAGCATAAATTTAAAGCAGAAAATGGTTTTACTGAGAGAATTCATAAATGAAATGCAGAGCACTAGAGTTTCATGCACCTGCAAACTTATTCACATATAATCGCATACGCATGAAAATATTAATATCTGCATACCTATATAAGTATATAAGCGTTTTTGTATGTATGCGCATATGTAAGTATGTACATTAGGGTTTACCAAAACTTTTTCTATGAAACTTGCTCCCACTAAGTTATCCTAGTAATCCATCTCACTGAAAATCTATTTGCTTCTTACTATCATGGCCGGATTAAGGTGCCGTACCGGGAACAAGTTGGGCTCTTCAGTGGCACTTCATAAAGCCCAATAGCGGAGAGAGTGCTTCAAAAAACGAGTGACAGTTTCAACTGTTGAAAGTAGACCTCAACCCAAGTCGGTGGCGTTTATTTTCCGTCTGTCGTATAAGCCGACAAATGCTTCTCAAGAAAAGCAGACAGAAAGAACTCTCCCCACCTCACCTACATCCACGGCATAATCGAAAAGTCCTCTCCCAAAAGTTTAACAAACCGAGTGTGCTACAATCTGGAGTTGTAAGCTCACAACTCAGCTCGCTAAGAGCGAACGAATAGTGCAGGCGA